CTAGGACCTAAAAAATATTGTCGTGAGGCAGTCTCCATTTTCTGTCTATGTTCCTCGAAGTTTAACTATACCTATTCCGATCCCTGTTCATTACGCAAGTCCTGCCTGTATGGCTTGTTTTTTATGTTTAATCTTTTTATTATATTACTTGCAGAAAAAATGCCATTTCAATATAAGTCCTCTGAAAAAACACGCAAAAGAAAAAAATATACTAAGACAGAACTAGAAAGCGCTATACGTGACGTAAAGGAGGGTGCAACTATGAGAAAAACAGCCATCAAGTATGGAATCGATAGAAGTACACTAAGACGTTATAAGTTGAATGAACAAAAATTACACAAATTTGATGAAAAAAACAGTCAGTATAAAGAGTCACAAGTATTTACTGTTTCTGAAGAAAAACTGCTTGTTGAATATTTACTATCGTGCAGTAAAATGCATTACGGCCTGACTAAAGTCGTCACAAAATAATAGATCATATTTGACAGCTAAACCAGTCGATAGTATGTAACTTTGAATGCAATCAACGAAACAGTAAATAAGCAATTAATAACTTATTGGGTTTTAAAAAAATACATAAATTTTATTGAAGGTCTATACGTTATGAAAGAAACATATTTCAAGTATTATTTTCGCAGGAATTCCAAAATAAAATCCAATTTTGAGTTACTCCGAAACGTCTTATAAACAGTTACATCTTCAGTCTAATTCTTTTTAATAATAGTGTTGTAACCAATAAGCGCCGACTATCATCGAGTCAAATCGGTTTCACTTTAAAAAAAATGACTTATTTAATTACTAAAGTCGTCACAAAATAATAGATCATATTTGACAGCTAAACCAGTCGATAGTATGTAACGTTGAATGCAATCAACGAAACAGTAAATAAGCAATTAATAACTTATTGGGTTTTAAAAAAATACATAAATTTTATTGAAGGTCTATACATTATGAAAGAAACATATTTCAAGTATTATTTTCGCAGGAATTCCAAAATAAAATCCAATTTTGGGTTACTCCGAAACGTCTTATAAACAGTTACATCTTCAGTCTACAAAGAAATAATTCTTTTTAATAATAATGTTGTAACCAATACGCGCCGACTATCATCGAGTCAAATCGGTTTCACTTAAAAAAATGACTTATTTAATTACAAAAACAAAAATTTTAAAGTGCTTACAAAATTAGACTGAGTATACTAGTATTTATAGTAGACAGAACCGTAAAGTCAGATTTGTATTTCCTTTTCTTTATCGCAAATTCTGAAACGGCAACACTGATGTCGATTTAGCGTCACTCTGCATCGGCGCCCGCGCAGTCTTTCGCCGTCTTGGAAGTTGACTGTACGCTTGGTTATTCGTGGTGTTTTTTCTTGTGACTCGGCTGTGCTTTTGGACTACTTCTATTTTCAATCTCGTTGACCTTGGCTTGGATATTTTGGACTTGATTCTGTGTGAACTCTTTTTCAACATGTCGAAAAGAGGACGTGCTTTAAATAGCCAGACTCGCGAACTGGTTGTGAAATTACACGACTATTTCGAAAGGGAGTCACTTAATGGTGGACCTCTATTACCAGTGACACAAGTGCAAAATCGCGTCGCAAGTGCACTTGGAATCGGCAAAAGAACGGTACACACCATCATACAAGAAAAATATGGGCCTTCCGGCTCTCAAGAAAACGTATTACATACGCCTAGAAAGAGGAAGAAAAGCAAGCCTGTAACAGGTATCGACACGTTCGATGCAGACGCTATTCGTAACCATGTTTATACATATTATACTAGACACGAGTACCCTACTGTGAGTAAATTGTTGGTATCACTTCGAGAGCTTGGCTTATTTACTGGGAGTGCTACCTCACTGATTACAATTTTGAAAAAAATTGGTTTTAAATACAAGAAGTCTGACAAAAGAAATATTATGATGGAAAGACATGATTTAATATTACAAAGAGTTTCATTTTTGAGAGAAATGAATAAAATTACAAATTGGGATAATGTTGTGTTTATCGATGAGACTTGGTTGAACTCAAACCACACAGTACCACAATCATGGACCGACGACACTAAAGCATCCAGCTCGAAAGTGCCAATGGGAAAAGGTGGTCGCCTCATAATTTGCCATGCTGGATCAGCCGGGGGAGGTTTCGTTAATAATGCTTTACTAGCATTTGAATCAAAAAGTACAAAAGAATATCACGAAGAAATGGACGCAAACAAATTTAAAGAGTGGTTTAAAACTTTACTTCAGAACCTCCCCGAACAATGTACAATAATTATGGACAATGCATCGTATCATTCGGTTCAAATAGATCGAGCGCCGACTCAGGCAAATAAAAAGGCTGATTTGGTGGCATGGCTACAGAGGAATGGTGTCGAAGCTGACATGGAGCTATTGAAAGTGGAATTGTTAAGATTAGTGCGAGAGCATAGACCTACAAAACTTAGGTATGAAATTGATGAATTGGCACTTGAGCATGGACATAAAATTATAAGGACACCGCCGTACCACTGTCAATACAATGCTATTGAGTTGATTTGGGCTCAAATTAAAGGTTAATATTTTTGCATTTAATACTGTTATTTTAAATTCGTATATATTAAGACTTATTTTGTACTAGTAGCATATTTTAATAAAGTACAAATGTAAAGAGGTAACATATAAACTTTCGAATTTGTAATATCACTGTGAAGGAACATTACTATTTTACAACAGTGTTTTTTTTTTACAGGCTACGCAGGACGTAATAATACTAAGCCACCGTTCTCCACAAAAAAAATGATGACTTTATTAAAGGAAGCATGTACTAAAGTAACAAAGGAAGACTGGAGAAAGGTGGTGGAAAAAACTAGAAAACTAATAAAAGAAGATTTTGACAGAGATGTTAATATTGATAATTTAATTGAAAACGAATTAATTATATGGACTGGTGAAACTAGCTCAACAGATGGTTTTGGTTCATCTTCCGATGACGTTGATAAATAAAAAATTCCAATAAGGAGGTCTTTTGTTTTACTTCAGAATTTTGTTATTTACGTACAGGTTATCCTCGTGAACTATGCTAATGTATAACTACAATACAACAACAAGTACAGGTTGCCGTTGTGCTCACTTAAAATACTTACTTATTATTTCTATTAAACTGTATAACGTTTAAATAAATGTTGATTGATATATCTAGAACTGAAAAGCAATGAACAGAAAAATAACCTAAACGATTACAAACTCCTAAAATTTTTAATCGATTTCTCGTGAGAATCGTTTAAACTGGTTACCGATATTGCAGTTCACATCACTATTTACGTTGCGATGACATGTGTCAAATATGATCTATTATTTTGTGACGACTATAGAAAGCAAGCATTGCAATTGGCTTTTGAATTCGCGGAGGCGAATTCAAAAAAGTATCCAGGTAGCTGGGCAACGAACAATGCTGCTGGAAAGGATTGGTTTCGTGGATTCCTTTCCAGAAATCGAGAATTGAGTTTAAGAACACCTGAAGCTACTAGCTTGTCTCGTGCCACGAGTTTTAACAAAAAAAATGTTACCGATTTCTTTACAAATTTAAAGACGGTGCGTGAAAAATACAATTTTGAGGCTCTAAATATATACAATTGTGATGAAACTGGATGTACGACTGTTCAAGCATGTCCAAAAGTGATAGCCAGTAAAAAGTCGAAACAAGTCGGACAAGTCACATCAGCAGATAGAGGGACCACCGTAACAATTTGTTTCGCCGTCAATGCGATTGGAAATGTGATACCTCCTTTCTTTATTTTTCCGAGGGTTAGATATCAGGAACATTTTGTATCGGAAGGCCCGGAAGGATCATCTGGAGACGCTCATACAAGTGGTTGGATGACCACAAAAAGTTTTGTGAAATTTCTTGGACATTTTGCAAAATACTGTCATGCCTCTGAGAACAATCGTGTGCTCTTACTGCTAGATAATCATGAGAGCCATGTAAGCGTTGATGCTATTAATTTTGCAAGAAGTAATGGCATTACATTGTTAACTCTTCCGCCACACTGCAGTAATAAATTACAGCCTCTCGATATTGCAGTTTATTCCTCCTTCAAATCCCGATATAACACAGCCATGAACAACTGGATGTTATCCAATCCCGGCAAAACAATTACAATTTACAATATTCCAGGATTCATTAAAACAATTATGTCTCAAGCATTCAGTCAAAGCAATATACTAAGTGGATTTCAAAAAGCTGGCATCCATCCGTTTAACCCAGATATTTTTAGTGGCGACGATTTTTTGTGTTCTGCAGTCACGGATAGAGAATTGTCTCAAGAACAAGCATCAACAAGCGCACCAATGTCTTTAGAAAGTCAGCTCGTATTCTCCACCCAACTTGAAGAATCATCTCATCTTGTACAGAATGTGGCAAACATAACCATTTCTGTTCAAAAGTCCAAACATAATCACAATATTGGCGATTATGGTCATGGTTCTGGTTTGCAACAGCATCAAGAATGTGCCAGCGAACCAGGTAATACCATTCTATTATCATCAAATGAAAATTTGACTATTAATGAGTTATCGACTCCTGAACTGGAATCTCCTACTCTTTTAGAAATGTATACGAACCCTGCGCAGAATGTTCCAGATAGTACTCATGAAAACTCAAACACTACGACATCAAAACAATCTGTTAAAGACGTCAAATTCATTCGTGCTAGTTCGGAGCCATTAAAAATCTCCAACAGATTCCAAGTGGTCACAACACCTTTAGCAAAACCTTTCACGGGTACGCGATCATCTTCTGTCCCACCACAAAAAAGTATATCTCTGGAGTCATCGAATGCTAAGTCACCGATTCAGAAAAAACAAGCTATTGATTTACAATGCTTTTCTTTAGCACTTACGGGATCAAAAGAGCAAACTACACTTAAGCGACGCACTATTTCATCACCAATCCCATCTACTTCAAACCTTGAAATAGTGACTCCAGAGATGGTGAGACCATTTCCTAAAGCGCCTCCAAGAAAGGTGGCTCGACGAGGCCGTCAGCCTGGCAAGACCAAAATATTGACAATTACCCCTGAGAAGGAAAATAACAGTGAATGTATCTCAGAAACTGTAAACAACATTTCTATCCCTAATAACGACAACAGATTTGATGACCCTAAACGCCCAAAAAGGAAGCTAAAAGAAACTCAATCCAATGTTATGAAGAATGATGAGATAAAAAAACAAAAGATGAATATGAATAATATTAAGAAAAGAATTTTTGGGAATAGTGACACTGAAAATGAAAATTATACTAATAAACCTAGTAAGAAGGTACAAGAAGAGACCAAAGGAAAGAAAATAATAAAAATCAAAAAAAATCCTAAACAAAAAGATGATAAAAAAAAGAATGTTCCAGGAAAAACTAAAGGAAAGGAGGAAATATTGAAGACTAAACAAGATTCAAAACAAAAAGCCCAGAGAAAGAGAACTGGCAAATGCAAAAAACGTAAACATATGAATGATGATAGTGAAACCGAGTGTGAAGACGAGGATATTTCGTACGCTGACAGTTCCAGTGATAATGATTTTGCACAGAATCCTTGCGTGAACGATAGGTGGTATTGTTTTGTTTGCCAATCAGAAGAAATTATGACCATGCGTCTATGTCGTTTATGCCGTAGATATGTCCATGAGACATGTGTAGGACTTACAGAAGATATTGATGATTTTATTTGTCATGAATGTGATCAGAATTAGTTTTTTAGGTTACCTTTTGACTGAAAATAATTATTAAGACTGATTGCTGCCACCAAATTATAAGAATAAGTGTATAATTTAAAAAAAGTTAAGAAAGACCAATAAGTTTGATTGTTAAAATGTTTAATTTTGTTAAAAAATTATGTTAACTGTGCAATGAATGTTTAAGAATATGTTTTTTTCTTCTTTATAAGAAGTACAACTGTCTTTATAATATAACTTAATTTTGTAATGTTTAAGTGAATACATTTGCGGTTTAAGCGCTAAAATATTTTTATTTTCCTCTTTAAAAAACAATAGTCAACTCTCCCTAGACCCCGGTTCGAGTGTCCCTTAGGATGGGGAGAGTTGATTCATATCCCATTTTTTATTAAAATATGTATACTACTTTACAGTATTATAAATATTGAAAAAGTAATGAAGCAGAAGTTGGCTAAATAAATAAGCTAATCTTCAAATGATAACTGAATCTCTACACCCCATCTATAAGAAAATATGATACTTTATATAAAAAGTGGTTCAAGTCTCCCGGACTTCCCCTACACTCTTAAACCTAAACAGATTTGTCTGAGAGTTGCAACTCCTCTAACAATAACTTCTACTATACAATTTTACGTAATATACCGACATTTTTTTTTTAATTTTTTTTAAATTCATTTATTCAAAGAAGTTTATACATTTACAACAATACATCTCCCGCCAAACTGGAAACAGATTTCAAATCGTAGATAGCAGTGGCATGTTTGTTTGGACAAAGCCCTAACTTAATAATTTTTATTAATAAAACTGCCTCCGTGGCCGACCGGTTCCCATGCCGGACTGAAATATTTGTATGACCTACATTTATTTCTTTCGTGAGTTTGGGTGTAATTTATGGTTGTCTATGTGTGGATCCATGGCACTCGCGACACAGGGTTTCCCTAGCACGGGGTTATGTTGAGTGCGACAAAAAAAAATAAAAATAATAATGTGTCACTTAATCGCACCAATTACATGGTCTCAATGCAGGGAATTCCCTTTACTATACGTACCAGGGCAACGGAATTCACTTCGGTGCCAGAACACCCAGACAAGAAACAATTGAGAAAAGATTTTATCAAATTCCTCAAAAGTTACTCAACTCCAGTAATAGTAAAAGTGAAGAATACATTGAATACTAGACAGTATGCGCTGAGATAACACAACGTACCTCCAAGCAATAACTAAGCGGCGGAAAGATACCGCACAATAAATTAATATAGTATTATTATTGATAACTTAAAGGCCAAACGTTAATTAATGAATAAGTAAAACAAACATCAGACCCCAAGCAGATATGACGCGTATTTATAACAGCTACTTATCAGAGCATATGTAAAAAATATTTCCTTTGGATTTTATTTTCGGCTTACGAAAGTAAACATTTGCATTGCAATCTGGAACATTCTTATCAAATATTTTAATTGTTCTATTTCCATGCGCTGATACTGTTTTATATTATTTCCTGCACAATACTTGTGAATCACGATAACATTGCATGATTGAATGGTGACGAATAAAAATAATATGTTTTGGAGAACTGAGATGTCTTTCTTTTATGCATTTTTTAAAAATATTTATTTATTTAGGACTTTTTTTATATGATAGGTAGGAAGTGATGGCACGAACAAATCATGCGCTTGCTATATAGTAAGCGACACGTCTGTCCATTGCGTTGCCGCTCAGAGCTTAAAATGTCAAAGATCTGAGGAGCAATGACACTGCGACTGTCGCCCCGAGACGTAAGTTGACAAGTCCCATGTGCCTGTAATTTTATCAGCACCCTCAGCGCCCAGTTAAAGATTTCGCACGGGCATCGCGCGGCGACCGCCCAGTTACCACGCCTTCGTGTACATTAATGGTGAATATGAACTCTATTTACTAGGCAACAACATTTAAATTCCTCTGCATTATTCAACCGCGCGGTCTCCGCGCGAGTCCTCGCGAAGACCAAATTCAAGCCAGCGTCACGCGCGTGCCCGAGACGCTCATTTAAGTTAAACGTAAAAGCTAAATAATAGACAAATAGATAGTATCATATCGCGTTAATGAAATAAATCCCTTTATACGGATACGATCAAAGTGAATGTGAGAACGAATACAAAGTAATCAATCACCCAACATTAAAGAAATTACGAACAACCACCATAACCAACGAGGTGTTGAAAATTTATAAAGATGATCGAGTGTACAACGGTTATTATTCGTTTAGTTCACTGTTGAGCATGAATATTGCAAATGGGCATGAAACCTTTGGTACTTACTTAGACGGTATTGTGATGTTGACTGACGTAAATTGATCAATTTCTTTGTGGTCGAAGTACAGTACTAGTACATTATATAAGACCACTTTTCGGTGTTTCACTTACCACTCTCATCATAATTTATGTTTCAACTCATATTACCCCACATTTGGCTATTCTCACTTCGTTGAGCGTGCGTACCATGCACTATATAAATCTTTACAAACTTACTATTGTTGTTGTTTTACATCAAAAACTCATCAAAAAGGTGTCCCATTGGGAGTTCACATTATGGCCTAACCTTAACGAAAAGAATGCTCGATCCACATCAATTTACTTACAAGTACAAACAAAAAGACTGTAACAATCTAATAATAAAATGATATAAAAAGTACAATCAGTATAAAACATTCCCTCCTAAACTTACCCCCAAAAAGTCCTATATACGTAAATGATTTAAAAACAGTAAACCACGTGAAGTTTGAGTTTTATATGAGGATAATCTGTGAGCACACCCTTTCGTTTTGATAATTTTGATGGGAATAATGACGGAACAAACCAACATAAGAACAGTGGATGGAAAAAGGATTTTTTCAATCAAAAGAATCCAAAATTTTAAGAATTTTTAAGAGGTGGGATGACGATGAAGGGGTCAGCATCATTACAACACTATCATTTTAATAGTATAAACTGATACCTTATCTATTAATAGCATTATTAACCTATTTTATCCTATCGAGTTCTTAGGTTTTCGCTATTGTTACACATTGGAAATGAAACTGTTTTACAGTTCTAAAACGCGTATATTTCGCACTCTTCGTGTCATAAGGCCACGCCTGCAAAACAACAATTTTCAGAGGTGTAATGATTCCACGAAAGAAATAAGTCGATGACTTTTAAAAACTCAAATAGGCGAGTTTTAAATTTCACATAGACATAATTTGTTTCATATTATTTATTTTTTATATTGAATGGATATTCAATTATTTATATGTGACATTACTCCACTAGTTTGTACAAAGATCGAACAGTCAGAAAAAAATCCTTCGATCGGGCCGGATTCGTTTTTTTTTATATTAATTCCTACTTGGTACTTGGTACTTGGTGTAACGGGCTGGTGTCCGCAACTCGACGACAAGGCGCTTATTTTGCGTGTATTAATTTCTAATTCGTATTATTTTTATGATTTTCATGTGATAAAAACACTTTTCACATACTATCACATGTGCCTTATTGGCAAAAGTACAATTTGTTATTACTGGTCCTGACTGTCAGCCGTGACCATGGAACCTGTAAAGTGCCCGAAACGATCGTTTGTCTGAAAAAATTTACTCGATTTAGATCCGAAAAAGTGTCATTTCTATTTTATCCTTTTAAATATTCCTAATTTTCAGTGACGGATATAGACTTATAAGATGCGACGCGTCTGTTTAAAGGCAAAACCACATAAATGATATTTTCCACAAAAGTCTTTAATTTATATAGGTATGGTAAGAAAATCTCTATCTTTCTGCACGTCAAACTCAATAACAAAAAGCTGTGAACCCAATAAGAGTTTTATCTGCAAAAAGATGCTGATTTTCTTACGACAGGTACATAATTTGAAGATTTTTTTGTGGAAAATGTCAGTTATGTGGTTTTACCTTTAAACAGACGCGACGTATTTATATTAAAAACCATATTATGTGCGCTGTTGATGAGACCTTTAGTATAATTTAATTTTATGCCATCGTGTATTACGAAAAGTCGATTAATTCTTAACGAATCCGAAAATAATGTTCAATACAAAGTCCGTTAAAGTCGGCTATCAAACTAAATCATCTTCAAAGAGTCATCATACTTAATTATTACACAAAAGAACATTATACACATACAAATGTCAGATCAAGATACAAGTGTCGATCTATGATCAAAAACAACAATACCAAGAATGCGTGCTCTAAATACTTCAGGAACAATAGCGAGTCATCAGCATCACTACAACTTCAAACGTCAAAATTTGATGGACGTATCAAGGCTTCTGTGCAAGAGACACGGCTGAGGCGGAGTCGCCGTCAGCAGGCAGCTTTGGCGCCACATGTCTCCTTACAATGACATGTTGCAATCAAATGGCACCCTGATAATCTCACCGGGCGACATTCACACTTCTAGTTTAAGGCTGGGGTCAGATCTCTGCCGCGGGCGAATGCCATACTACAACAGCATTGTGATGAGCTCCATAATTAGAGA